TTTAAAAAGATATGGTACATATGCACAATGAACTATTATTTAGCAATCAAAAAAAAATAAAAAAAATGAAACACATGTCTTTTGCGGCAACATGGATGGATTTGGAAAGGATCATGCTTAGTGAAATAAGTCAGAAAGAAGAAAAATACCGTCTGGCTGATTTCTCTTATAGCAGGAGTATAATGGAACAGATGAGAACACAATTATAATGATGAACAGCTATATACCAGAAACATTTTATGGGGTTGGAATGGGGAATGGGATCAAAAACAGTGGGGGAAGTGTAGTGCTTTGAACTATGGTGATGGCGTATGTGTGATTTGGTGATGGGAAGCCCAAGGGGATTGCTACTGAGATGGATAAATGCACAAAATTATGTAAAAATAAAGTATTATATTACAAATAAAGGATGTTAAAATGAGATAACATCTATCTTGCTCAAAATCTTTTAAAATATTTAGAACAGGTCCTCCCTGATGGCTCCCCATTCTCAAGTGCATGCTCTCTCTCCTCACATCTCTAGCCTACACCCCAGTTTTTGTATGTATAAATAAATAAAATTTTAAAAGAAAATAAATTTAGGCTGGTTATGTTGTTCAGTTTGGGGTACTATTTTTTTTAACATTTGTTTATGCATACATAACTGGGGTATAGACTAGATGTGAGGGGAATGAGAGGATTTACCAAAGACAATGTGGTGCAGAACAGGCAGATATACTGAAATACACTGCTAAGGGAAGCAGCTGGCAAGTCAGGAGAGGTCTGCCATGCCATGTGGGTCATCTCCTTGGCCTTCGATCAAATTCATGCTTCAGTGGCTGGATAGTTTCATAGTGCTGTGCTTTAATCCTTTGTGTCACCAGGGAGGGCCCAATGCTATGTTTTCTTTAAACCAGTTTTTGATTGGATATTTTGTTTTCTTTTTGTCTATTTAACTCTTGAATCCAAGTTTCTATTTGATTATTTATTTATTTATTTATTTTTGCTGAGTTGTATGTACTTGTATACTTTAGATATCATTCCATTGTATCATGTATTATGTGCATATATGTTATTCCTCAATGGTGTATCTTTTCATATTAATCACAGTTTCTTTAGCTGTGTACTGGTTTTTTAATTTGACATACTCCCATTGATTTATTTTTGCTTATAGTTTCCTTATTGTTGAGGCAAGTCCCAAAAAAATATTACTGAACTCATAGTTGTGTGGTGTTTACTTCAGGTAAACATTTTATGGCTTCAGGTATTACATCCATGTCTCTAACATATTTTGAATTGCTTTCCATTTGTAATAACCAAATTCAGAAATAAAGTGTCCAATCACATAATTGGATAAAGAATATGTGACATATAAACTCAGTGGAATACTACTCAAATATGAGTGGAAAAAAAAATGGAATCTTGCAGTTTGCAACAAAATGCATGAAACTGAGATGAATATTCTAAGTAAAATAAAATTAAGCCAGTGCTGGTTGATTTTATCATATGCAGAATATGAAAAAAACAGACAAAAAATACAAAGCAAGGGATACATGAGGAATGCAGAAAAACAAAACAAAGGGTGAGACAACACTTGAAAACTTGCTGTGCAATGGGTGCAAACAGAAAGGGAAAGGACGGTGGAGGAGAGTTATTAGAACAAAGAAAGGAGGGAGCACAAAGGTCTTTGATAATGGACTATGGGCTCTTTGGTGTTGGGTCCAAAAAAAAAAAAAATGCTTGAATTTGGAGATCCTACACCTCTATAATGAAAATATTGATGTAAAACCGTATCAGTCAAAAATTTAAAATAACCACAATCAGAACATGATCCATTGTTTAAAACAAAGAAACAAAATGAAGCAACTGACAAAATTAAACCAAAACACACCTTGAAAATCTAACTGCAGAACTGAGACTACCAGAAAGAAAGGATAAGGACCAAAGAGCAAAGTGGAGAGAGGACAATGGGCTATGGTAGGGAATTACTGGTATTTTGGTAGGCATGGTGTACTAATATCCACTTGAAGAGGTATGAATCTATACTACTAAGTCATTTATAATTTTCTAAACTGGTAATTTTTGTTACCTAAACAAAACAGTTGCATTTTATTAAAATGAGAAAAAATGATACTGTTTACTTATTGTTTCATATATTATATATTGTTTCATATAATGTGATATTTTATTACATTATATTAAAAGTTTGATTGTTCATAAGTTCAATGAGGGGTACTTAAAAATTAGAATTCCTGGCCCTCCCTGGTGGCACAGCGGATTAAAGCACTGCACTAAGAAGCTTAAGCCACTTCCTCATGAGTTCGATCCCCGCCTGCCACGGAGGAGATCCACATGGTGCCGCAGACCTCTCCTGGCCCACCAGCTGCTCCCCTCAGCAGTGTACTTCGTGGATTTGCCTGTTCTGCTCCCCGCTCTGTTCCTGGTGAAGCCTCTCACCGCCCCTGAACCTCTGGCCTGAACCCCAGTTCTGTATGAATAAATAAATAAATCTTTAAAAATAATAATAAATAAAAATAAAAAATAGATAAAAAAATAGAATTCCTATATACTGTCCAGATAGTCTTATCTAACTGTTTCTAGGAATATGAGGAATGTTTGTTTTATTATTAAGTATTCCAAGTAATTCTGGTGGGAGGCATCTGTTTTGCTCTTAGGTAAACTTTGAGAAATTTTTTTCTTACCATTTCCTTTAGATAATACTTTTCATGTTATACATTAAATAAATTAACTTTAATATATCAAAAAAGTAGATTAAAAAGGCTGATGACAGTAGGTACAATAGTTAAGGGGGGGTGGTTGACAGATGCTACTTCATTTTCTTTATATAGGGATATATCTGGCTCATTCATTTTGGATGGCTATTAGGAAATACCTACCAATTTTAAGTTTGTGTAGCGTCTCACCATTCAACTCCAATAATTAAATAATTTTTCAGCTGTACTCACAGACACTGAAAACTGTGTGTGTGTGTTTGTGTGTGTATTTATTTCAACATAAAAAGGAGAATTAGGGAGATAAAAATCAAAATGATTCTCACTTATGAAAGAAACAAACAAAAAATTCCTTGTAACCATGTTATCTTTTTTTTTTTTTTAATTTAAAATTGGTTTGTTGACAACTTGACTAAATAACCAAATATTGCTTCTTAGGCACACATGGTCATATTTTTAACATGTGTTCAAGTCTCTTCCAACAATTTGTTTGATTGTGCCTTGCACAAATCATGTCCTAAATAACTAAAAATAATAATAATATTATTATTTAATTTTAATAATATTTTAATAGCTTTTAGATTACATTACAATTTCTTAGAGGGCTTCTGGAAAGTCACAAAGGTTTGTTTTTCAGATTACAAAAAGAAATGCTAGAAAAAAATTAGATTTATTTGTTAGTTACTATTTATGCTTTATATAAAAATAGGACATAAATAAGAAGAGATACTCAACCTTCTTTAGGTTAAGCCTTTCTAAGTAAATGCCATTAATATTAGTTTTTAGAAATTATATATTTAATAGAAAGTTCCCAGTGATCCATTAGTGTCCTCATTGCCCATGATATGTTTCTACTTGTCATAGTCCTGATGATTTTTTTTTCAATTTTTTTTATTACTATTACAAAGTTTATTTTTACATCATTTTGCACATTTTTTTTCCCCATCTCGATTGTAATCCCCACGGGTTTCCCATCACCAGATCACCCCTGTGCCACCACCCTAGTCCCGTGCATTTCCCTCCCCCCTCCCGTTTTTGATCCCATTCCCCACTCCACCCCCACAGAATGTCTCTGGTATATGGTTGTTCATTATTTTTGTTATTTTCTCGCCTGGTCCATTATACTCCTGCTATGAGTGAAACCATCCGGTATTTTTCTTTCTCTTTCTGGCTTATCTCACTAAGAATGATCTTTTCCAGCTCCATCCAAGTTGCTGCAAAAGACATGTGTTTCTCTTTTTTGGTTGCTGAGTAATATTCCATTGTATATATGTGCCACATCTTTCTAATCCAGTCATCTACTTTTGGGCATTTGGGCTGCTTGCATGTTTTTCCAATTGTAAATAAAGCAGCAATAAACATGGGGGTGCAGGTATCTTTATCAATCAGTGTTTTTGTGTCTTTTGGATAGATACCTAGGAGTGGGATTGCTGGGTCGTAGGGAAGCTCCATGTTTAGCAGCTTGAGGAACCTCCAGACAGTTTTCCATAGTGGTTGTACTAGTTTGCATTCCCACCAGCAGTGCAGTCCTGATGATTTTTTAAAACATTTATTTATTTATGCATACAGAACTGGGGTGCAGGCCAGAGGTACTAAGGTGGTGAGAGGACTCACAGAGACAGAGACAGTGGGGGGAGCAGAAAAGGCAGATCAACGAACTACTGTTGAAGGGAGCAGCAGGTGGGTCAGGAGAGGTCTGCCGCACCATGTGGGTCACCTCCGGGGCTGGAGATGGAACTAGCTCTGAAGAGCTGTGGCCAGCTTGCTGTGCTGTGCTTTACCCAGGCGCACCACCTGGGGGGGTGATGATATTTTGACTGGTATTAATTAACAATTAAATGGTGTTATTAGTCATGATTTCAGTTATTTAAAATTCAAAAAGAGGCCACAGCCTTACTCTTCTTTTACAAGAAATTTTTATGTGTATAATAAAATTGAAATGAGTTTTATAGATCCCTTGTATAACTCCACATACTCATAGCTTTCTTCAATACCCACATCCTCCACAAAAGTGTTATTTTTTTACAACTGATGAACTTATGTTCACATGTCATAATTTACCACAGTTCATGATTTACCTTACAGTTCATTTTTGTTATTACATATACAATGGATTTGGAAAATGTAAAATGATGTACTAATCATTATAGTACTAAGAGTATTTTCAAGATCTTAAATCCTATGCTCTGCCTATTCATCCCCACCACCCTCAACTATGGAAACAAGTGACAATTTCATAGCCTTCATAATTTTGTATTTTTCAGAATTTATGAGGTAGTGTCAACCAACCTGTCAACAAATGCATGGTGAAGAAGAAAAATGGGATCATTGGCAGATCCCTGTACCTGGGACATCGTTCCATTCATGTAGATGTGTAAGGCATTATGCATACTGCTTTGAGAGGCATCTGCTATCCCAGTAAGTGGACTAGCAAATCCTGTTGGTAAAAGAAAATTTAAGAAAAAAATTAGTTTGTCTTAATGTTTGAAAATCTAAGTGGTTATCTCACTATCTACAATTGAATACTTTGGCTCAAAGTGATAACATCATTAGTATATTTCTTTCTGTACTGAATTTTTTTACATTCTGAATACTCAATGGATATTGAATAAAATTTCTTTATAACAATAAAAGGTGAGTGCCTTGAGGCCACAGTATCAGATTCATGCAAGGTCTTCAGGTTATTTTACTTGAATGAAATTAATTAATATTTGCTAACCTCCTTTATTCCCTTGCCCTTGAATGAGCCCACAGAGATACTACCATAGTTAATATATCAGCATAGCATGGGATGTGGGGATGAATATATTGAAAAGTTTGTTTTAACTACAGGATCCATGACCTTACATTTTGCCTAGGACTGGGAACACACCATTACATTTGAGTTGTTCCTTGTCCTTGTACCTCTTTACTTTTGGGAAATAGAAGGTGCCTTTGTTTTTATTGTTCATGTGCTTTTGGGAATTCCCCCTCTCCAGAAATGCTGTATTTTTGTTGGCCCACCTCAAGAAAACTTTATAATCCTTCCCACACACACACTTTATAGGTGATGAAACTATCTCTCAGAGTTATTTAATAATTTATTCAAGTAACACAACTAAGAAATAATGGAATATGGAGCAAACTCAGACATTTTGACTGCCAATTCTCCTACTTCCCAACACACATAGCTGTGATAAGTTTGCATTACCACTGTTATAATGTATAAAATACAAAACATTCTAGCTAATTATAATTTGCATGTGAAGACCTTTTTTAACCTCATAGCTAACAGTTTGTAGAGACCACTTATTTAGCTTAATCAGAAGACAAACTTTTATAATCACACATAATTATTTTTGCTTTAACGAGGACCATGATTTTTTTATGAGATTCATAAATTTCATAGCTTCAATATTTATTTCATTTAAATATGACAGGGTAGCTGAGGTTACATACAACAAAAATACAAACCTTCCTCAATCCCAGTGACCAAAATTTGTTCCATGAGACTTTTATTACATTATTACAGAAGGTCCAAAATTAAAAAAAAAAAAAGTCAGCGATAACTCTGAAGTTCAAACGAATCTGACAATTCAAATTCACTGGCTTTAACAGAGAGAGTAGTGTGCCATGAGTAGCTTTCTTCCTGCTCTCTCACAGCTATTCACTTGAGCTATCCTTGTAAACCAGAACATTCCACATATCTCTACAGAGCAAACATACTCTCAGATATTTATCTCTATGTCTTTCCATATTTGAAAGGTGTTGGGGACCGAGGCCGGCATCTGGCATCTGTCAGCAGCCATAAAAAGGTGAAATGGGCCCTCCCTGGTGGCACAGC